CATAGCTCCAGCGTGGGCGGCATTGCGATGACCTTGCAGTGTGTTCTCTCGCTCGAGATATATAGGCTTGCGCAAGTGTAGGTTTAGTCACAGATTTAAGTTAAGTACCATCGGGTTTTGACGTGTCCTACGGGCAGCATATCCGTGACGATGAGACCGTAGAAATCGGATCGATCAGAAAAATTTCATGCAGCATCATGAGCTGCATATTGACCGCGGTCTTTGTTATCGTTATTGCAGCGGCAGGTCCTGCGTAAAGCCTAGATGCACGGCTAGCGCCAAACACCGTGGTTTATGCTGGAAGCACGACGGGTTTACACTCTGCTCGGTGGAAGACCGCAAGCTACGACAAATAGGAATAAAGATTGCTTGGCGGAACGCACGCGCCACAGATGACCAGCTTGCAACGCCCTAGTGCATATTCACACTGACATAACTTCATGACGTCATTACAATCTGATGCAATTGAGCTAAAGGGAACCCTGACAAACTCAGCACAGTACCAAAGTAAAGAGAAGACGCCAAATGAAGTATGCTGGAAGGTGTTTATATACTTTACACGCCTATTACACTCGAGCTAATTAGTTGATCACGGCGGCTACTACTCTGTCCGCTGTGCGCAGTGCTCGGCACACAAGTTGCCATTGCGCTCGTATGCAGGCTTCTGACATGTCTCCACCAGACAGCGCTTGCCACCGCCATGTGCCCAGCACAAACCGTGCGATACCGCAATCTTCAAGCACTCGCCGTGCTTGCAACGAGTGCCGCCGCCATGGGACCAGCAGATGCCCCGCGACTTGGCACGTTTTGTGCAGCCCTCCACCGTACAGCGCGTGTAGCCGCCGTGCTTCCAGCACAGTCCACGGTTCTGTGCGCGACAGTTGCAGTCCTCCATGGAGCAGCGCTTGCCACCACCGTGACGGATACACAGCCCGCGGTCCACCACGTACTTTTCACACCCCTCTGACTTGCAGATGCGTGTCTTACGCTTCTTCTTAGGTTGTGGTAGAGCATTTTGCGGCTGAAGCATGTTTGTCGTCGTATGCAACAAGGAAGCAGGGTTTGCGTACGGGTGGGACAGAGTATTGGACGGAGCAGTCGACGTAACGGGGACGTACGGCTGGGGCAAAGGATGGTCAATCGGGTAGCGTACATCCGACGCTCGACAAGTCGGAGGGTTCAGCAGGAACGAAATTGACGCCGATGGAAGGTTCGGTGACGATGTAGTGTAGCTACTCTGCGCCGCGAGTGTACTCATGAGGCTTGGTAGCGTCGGCAAGCGAGGTGCTAGCGATGGTAGACGAATAGTGCGGATGGTGTGCGGGGCCGCATATGGCTCAGATGGCAGCAAAGCCGCCTGCATCAGTGGTGCTAGGCGTGAGGATCCGATGGGGCAAGCTTGCATTGTTAATTGGTTCGTGGAGACTTGTTTGGTTAGTGATGTGTCGACAAGTGAGCAAAAGCGATAATGCCACTGAGCACTGAGCAACTGAAGCGAGTTGATGATCACTCGACTGGCAAGAGCATATGGGCGGATTTGACTATAGAAAATTTGCAAGTCCCGTGGTAACTTGCCTCGCAGAAGTCAGAAAGCAGGCAATTCGCCAGGTGGTGACCGTGGCATGGTCTGTTTAAGTGGTCGGACGTTGTCACGCTTTAGTACAGTTCACCAGTTGGTTATGTTAGTGTATTCTCCTATACGGATTCGTTGTCGTACGTGTACGGTAACGCAGCCCAAACTTTTTTGCGCGAGGCGTAGGGATCAATTTAGGATTTGGATTATCTATCCCAAAAGTAAACACACCCATGTCGCCCTCTTATCTGTATGTGTAGGGATGATACCCGCAATTTCAGTAGGACGAAGCGTGCACCTACGCGTTGGACGAGGCCTGCCGCGGTCCAATCGTTGCGCGCTGTTTACTGCTAAAAATATCGTGTAGTTGTAAACTAAAAAGCAAATCGTCACTAGCTTGCGGTATCGTCGTGCAGCTTGTGCTAGTGTTGACGGACTCGAATGTTGATGGCCGTTCGAAGGTAGGATACGATCGATATGTGTTGCCTGGACACGGTGGATACCCGGTATTATACATATGGCATGTCTGACAGCATTAAATCAAGAATGTCATTAGGGCCATGCAGACCTAATAAGTTTTTTTGTGCTTTGTTAACCACCTTCGACGACCCGATCCTAGGAGAAGACACTGCTGTCTCATCCAATTAACACGGCTACCCACCATGTGCGTTCGTAGCATGCGATCTCTCCATGGGTTCGCTTCCAAGTGGGGTCTACACGAGCAGCGCGGGGAGGTTCATACCATTCGACGCATACCGAACCAAGCGATTACGAAGATTATCAAATAGCTGCACTCTATAGCTGAGACTGCGCATAAAATTCGTCGAGCAGCCGCTTCTCAGGAAAGATGTGACTGCCTTTAGCTTCGATGATTACCAGGCGGCGTTCATTGCATGAACAGAGAAAGTATCATTGGCTGGCGCGTCTGTGACAGCTACCAGCTGGCTCGCATTTTCGATGATGCTTACTACCAAGAGTTCAATGAAGCGTCTGGCTTTTTCCATTATCTTCTAAGATATGTCAGGCATGAATTTTCGTGGCTTGCGAGCAGTCAAGTTTTAGTCGAGTACTAATGGCCTTCGATTAACTAGTACACACGAGTTACTTTTTATCTTGTCACAGTGAGGAGATGTCGTCTTATTATTGTGGTATAGTAAGTATACAATCCAGCAGAGAATAAGACGTAGTAGACGCCTATAACTTTGGCTATCGAAGTGGTGTGACAGGCTGAGAAATGGCCGGCTCAACATAATGTAGGTCTCTTTTGTATTGGCGTAGACGGCATCGCACCCTCTTTTGAGGCGACATTGCCTCAGAAAACTAGGTTTTATAACGTCCATGCTCCGTTAGTCACTGAATGACGCGACTATCCTACGATGAGGTGCAGAAGCGGTGCTGCAGTCGCGACGCACGACACAAGCACGTTGCCTGGTCCGTCAGCATCGCCATAACAGTGGATGCACGCTAAGAAAGACTCGAAAAGAGTTGTCACAAATCGTGTCCGAATCAGGAAGAACGTGTCTCGTCCAAAGGAGCTTGCGAGCTCAGCTCACTAGAGCTGAAGTCTCTCTAGCTCGATAAAAAGCTACTAGCAATTTTTGCATTTGCAGCCTGAGATATGAGACTGATGTCTTCCTCTCGTACGAACACACGACAATGGATCGAGTAAGAAAGTGCCATATTTTGACGCGCGCGTATACAAATGTCCTTATTTACTAATTGCCCTACGACTTGTTGCTAATTGACACTGGAGATATGGAAAGATTAAAGGTTCAACAAGGTGTATTGTCGATGTGAGTGTTAATTACCAGCATATGGCGGGATTAAAATCTTTTCGGCTGTCGCACGTTGCCACAAACGATGAATCTTGAGGATTTACGAAAAGGGGTTAGAATGGAAAGGCCGTCGCGCAACGACAAACACTGTCGTATGATGTGTCGTCCGTCTCAGTAGCGTGGAAGGTCGTTGCCTAAATATGTGGCCGGCGCACCCCTCTCGCATTTCAAAGCGGCAGAACCGCCAAAAAGGTCAGTGTACATCCCTGTCGACGGGGTGTATTTTCCTACAGACACGTCCGACACGATACGTTTCTTAAACTTCGGCTGTTTCCTCCGGTAGTCGGTACAGTCTGCATAGTGCGGACCTGCACTGTGCAGACCCGCACCTTGTGCGCATGGTCTTGCCACTTGTGGTTGGCGACTAAAACCTCTATAGAAAGCGGCTGTGATTACGGTCAAGCGCACAGAACGGCATAGATCTCACAGAAAAAACGACGACTCGCAAGTATCCACCCTGGGCTCATTGGACACCTGTAAATCTTCAACTTGCTCGTGCTTTGTTTCACAAACGTATGATATGAGCAGCTACGATTTGAGTGGCCCCTTATGCAGAGAGTCGCTAGCACCAATTAATAGCGTGAACGCTTGGTTGTTTTCAAATTCATTCAATACTTTATAGATTCATGTGCTGGTCAAACTACCAATTTAAATTCAACGTAAATGACTCGTTTGTAGTAGTATTACTCACGGAAAAAATTGTGCAGCGAGGACCGACAGTAGAGAAAGCAGATCTGTTGATAGTGTTTTGGATGAGCCAGAGCAAGAGACGCTTCAGTGATGAAATGAGGTAGGTTCAAAGGTGGAAGATTGAAGATGGAGTGCATGCTTGTTTGGGAGATTCATAACAAAGTAATCGTTTGACTTCACGTTCCAAAACGCTACAAGAATCTACTTGCAGAAAATTCTGCAAAGCTCGTTTTAACTCAGCATGGACACGCCTTGTGATCGAGCGTGACTTGTGGAAGAACAACTGGATTCATGCTTCTGCAAAGACGGAGGAGAGACACATGCTGGATACTGCAAGTGTTTATTTGAGCCTGTCTGTACCTAGCTGATACAGGCTCGGATGCAGTGCATCCCACTTGTGCCGCTTCGTCTATGTCTAAGCCTTTCGCCAGGTTTGTTTACTGCACACCCAGACGAGCGTTTTGATGGCAAGCACGTTCTATCCACTGGCACCATCCCCGTTCGGACTTATGCAATCTACTGAAATTGCGTGTGGGTAACGTACGTCCATCATCAAGCACACCGCGACAGAGAAACCGCACCGGTATTATGCCTAAAGCCACAAGTTTTATTGCACAGATGCTGCGTCTGACTTTCTAAAGACTACAGTCTCCATGTCGTACGTATCTTACTGTACAGTTTACACTAAAGGAGCCACTAGTGTAGAACAACCGATTGATTTCTACAGCAGCTTGGGGTTGCACGGTTCAAATCTCGCACCTTGCTCTTGCCAGTCGCCAAAAGCATAGTCACAACCCCGCTGAGTCTTCGGCGAATCGTCAATATTTAGCAAAACAACTCTCATCTTTTGCTCACTTGTCGTAACGCCACCGATTAAGCAAGTCTCCACAAACCAATTAACAATGCAAGCTTGCCCCATCGGATCCTCACGCCTAGCACCACTGATGCAGGCGGCTTTGCTGCCATCTGAGCCATATGCGGCCCCGCACACCATCCGCACTATTCGTCTACCATCGCTAGCACCTCGCTTGCCGACGCTACCAAGCCTCATGAGTACACTCGCGGCGCAGAGTGGCTACACTACATCGTCACCGACCCTTCCATCGTCGTCAATCTCGTTCCTGCTGAACCCTCCGACTTGTCGAGCGTCGGATGTACGCTACCCAATTGACCATCATTTGCCCCAGCCGTACGTCCCCGTTACGTCGACTGCTCCGTCCAATACTCTGTCCCACCCGTACGCAAACCCTGCTTCCTTGTTGCATATGACGACAAACATGCTTCAGCCGCAAAGTGCTCTACCACAACCTAAGAAGAAGCGTAAGACACGCATCTGCAAGTCAGAGGGGTGTGAGAAGTACGTGGTGGACCGCGGGCTGTGTATCCGTCACGGTGGTGGCAAGCGCTGCTCCATGGAGGACTGCAACTGTCGCGCACAGAACCGTGGACTGTGCTGGAAGCACGGCGGCTACACGCGCTGTACGGTGGAGGGCTGCACAAAACGTGCCAAGTCGCGGGGCATCTGCTGGTCCCATGGCGGCGGCACTCGTTGCAAGCACGGCGAGTGCTTGAAGATTGCGGTATCGCACGGTTTGTGCTGGGCACATGGCGGTGGCAAGCGCTGTCTGGTGGAGACATGTCAGAAGCCTGCATACGAGCGCAATGGCAACTTGTGTGCCGAGCACTGCGCACAGCGGACAGAGTAGTAGCCGCCGTGATCAACTAATTAGCTCGAGTGTAATAGGCGTGTAAAGTATATAAACACCTTCCAGCATACTTCATTTGGCGTCTTCTCTTTACTCTGGTACTGTGCTGAGTTTGTCAGGGTTCCCTTTAGCTCAATTGCATCAGATTGTAATGACGTCATGAAGTCATGTCAGTGTGAATATGCACTCGAGGGTTGAAAGCGCGGCGTTGCGTTTCGAAGATGCAGTAGTCTCCATCGCGCTATTCTGCTCGGGGGTTCAACTATCATAAAGCGAAATGCAAAGTATTTACAAGCCGTCGTCTACGAAAAAGCTGACGACCGCATAAGGCGAGGGTAGGACCTACGCTAATGTCGATGTAAGCACGAGATTCACTCGCTAAGTGTAGGGAGGGACCTACAAATTGATGTAACCGTAATGCTGCAAGCATGGTGGATTTCGTGTCCGCCTAAAATTAATCAAGAACTGTAAGATAATACATGATTGCTAGCTGCCTCGTAATGCAAGCAAGGATAATCCCTGAAACTGTACACAAGATCCCAGTCCAAACGCATAGTTCAAAGCTCTAAGATAGAAGTGAGACAGTCATCGTCCCAGCTTTTTCCCATAATTACTGCGATTTGTTGCCTACTGCACCTCGATACACATGACTTGTAATCCTTGGGACCAGCAGGTTCATTGTATTTAGAGAGAGAACAGATTGTCTATTTACTGATTAGTGCAAGATCTCTGGTAGGTAGTTAACCACACTAGCAACGCTGGAGGGTCCGGGAATTGCCTACGGCTGGCAGCACGTCTATGAACGCCGGACTGCCCTATCGGTTCTGATATAAATATGTCGTAACATGCAGATAGTTGGGCTCCACGGACGGCTGTGGCCGCTCTGCAATGGAGACGTTTGATGAGCGCCCTCAGTTGGAGCTGAATCCTATTCCAGATCAAAGTTTCACTGGCTTGTATCGGAATAAGCGCATTGTTAAAAATCCTATCCACGCGAAGTTGCCAGAGCATTGTGATAATGACGGTCACTGCGACTTCCCAAATCGTCCTCCAGGCTGTGGCGAATAGATCAATGTCTTCCGGGTACCGGGCTAACAGCTTTGCTGTGACCTGCGGCGAGATGCGTGGTACGCTACAGTTTGCGCAGTGTTCAAGCCAATCCAGGAGGTGGGTAGGATGGTGAGGTGTACTCTCCCAATGACTGATAAGCCGGGCCCAGATTGCCTGAGCGCGGGGACATCCCCAAAAGAGATGCTCCTGGGTTTCCTTTTGGCCTACACATTCCAAATATGTGCATGATCCGTCCGGGGGTCGGTTTTGGTACCAAAAGTTTAGCTGTCCGGTAGCGTGTCGATATCGTGTCCATAGCTGGTATTCCGTTACCGCATGGCCGTGATCCCATAGCTGAGCCGGCGTGACATTTAAAGCTGTGCATTGCCACCGCGTATTCTGGCTCTTTGTGGCTAGCCGATCGATGACCTGCTTCAGCGGTGCTGCGAGACCGCGCTTTGTCGCCTGAAAAGCTTGTTTTTTCAAAAAAGTGAATAGTCGATGGTTGGGGACCGTAGGCGGTGCGGACCACGGATAGTGGTGGATCTGTGGGTTGGAAAAAAGACAACCCCATGTCGGCTGAGCTTGCTCTCCGCTTGTTGGGTGAGCTCCTGCGATTTCCCTTTTACTAGCGGCGGAGCGCCGTCGAAAACCCAAGTTATGCCATCGTGGCATTGAGTGAGCTCCTAACTCTGAGGGCGATCAGATTCATCAGAGAGTGAAACGCCTCGAACCTTGCCTGGCCCGATCAGCACCCATGAGATGGCTTGCGTGAATGGTAGCTGTTGCCTTAGCCGCAATGGGCTTGGGCACCCTACCGGATTTCCCACGTCTAGTGGCGGCGACGAAAGTAAAATTATGATCGCCCATTCTCGAAGTTTCGCATGCGAATGGCGGGGGTCATGGACATCCGTGCCAATGCCGCTGAAGACGTATTCTTGGGGGCCTGTCCGCTGGATGTGGAGTTGTTCGAGGGATACATCACGAATTCTGTTATATTTGGATCGGGACAGCTCGAGCGCCTGCGGTGAGAGAATCCAAGGATTACCACTCCACTGAAAAGTCTGCCAAAAATCGTTTATCTCCTGAGGCCAAATCTCATCCCCTTGAGGCCGCCATGGAAGGGGCTCGGAGAGGTGCAAAATCCAGTCATTTTCCTCCCACCAACTGGTCGATGATGACCGAAGGTTCGGTAGATGTTCTTGTACTCGTGCTAGGATTACCGCCGTTTGCGCGATGTCTGGCCGTAATGTGCAGCCGAGTTCATGGATCACATCGGGATAACGCTCGAACGACGGCGATACGATGTGTTTTACGCTCGGTCGATGCGGGCTGATGCTCGTGTTACGTGCACCATGCGTGTTCCAGGACACCCACGCTGTGAGATACATATCCTCCGGCCGAGTAAGTGCCAGAAGCGCGTGTTTCACTCGCTGTGTTTTAATAGCAACTGGGACGGACACTAGGCCAATTCCTCCTGCCTTCCGGGGAGTGTAAAGTAGGCCTGGAGCGACTTGTGTCTCCCAGGTTCGATCTTGTTTGACGATTTCCAGAGAAATTGTTTATAGAGGTGATCCAATTGTTTTAGCGCCCAGCCGGGGGGCTCGAAAACTGCTGCTGTAAACAAAATCCCGGGGAGAACAATCGTGTTGAGTATTAGGACACGGTGCTCGAGAGTCGTCGATACTCGCGTTGCAGTGAGGAGGCGGCGCTGTGTATTTTTGATGCGGAGAGCCCAATTAATATTTCGCAACTTTCCTGTCCCCACTTGATATCCGAGATATCTCGTAGTTGTTGACGGAGCAACCACTGCAATTCCTTGGTACGTGAGTTGATGGATAGCCGTATTTAAAAATATGATTTGGCTTTTAGTCGGTTGCACTTGCAACCCCGATAGCCGTCCAAACTCAGTAATAATTTCCATAGCCGGTCGTAGTAAACTTGCTTTTTGAAGAAATAATGTGGAGTCGTCGACAAACCCCGAAAAGATGTGACTGGGTCTATGTGCTCCCTGAAGTGTGAGCCCCTGAAGTTGTGGCGACGTTTGTATTGCAACTGCCAATACCTCTACTACCACCAGAAAAAGAAGGGGAGCGAGAGGACAGCCCTGCCGAATACCCGACCGAACTCCCCGAATTGAAGAAAGCTCTCCATTGACTGAGAACCGTGCTGTCGTATTGGTATGGAGCCGTTGAATTAGCGCAAGAAATTTTTCTTCAAAGCCGAAAAGTCGAAGCGCCTCCACCATAAAGTCTCGGTCGACTGTATCAGGTTCATTGTATTTGTTCGAAGTTACGACAGACTCATCCATCTATTACTTACGAAGCATCGACAGCCGATTGTATATGCTGCTCGCATGCTTTCAATGTATGCACTTGAAGCGAAAAGACAATGGGGCTGGTAGCATTCAATAGAGAAAACACACTGGCCTCGTGTTCAGATTGTTATTATCATTTGCCCCATGTGATGGTAGTGATACGACCGTTGCAGCCGGCAACAGACTTGAACAAGTACGTAGATTATGCACCATCTGCATAATCTTCTGCTGGGTGCCTTGAGCTACTCGAGCAAAGTTCAGTCGTCGGAAAGAGACCGAAAACGCACATCCACCCAACCAGGGACATCACAAGTGAGTCCAACATAGCGTTATCCGTTTCACACAAAAGCCATGCGTTCCATGTCCTTTCAAGACCTTTTCCTCAAGTCTTCGACCATGCCCGTACCCACTCGACTGTCGTCGGCCACGTCGCTGCTGTCGCCGAATTCAGCCTGTTACGACCTCGGAGGCTACGACATGGCTGGAACCACAGACACAACAATTAAAAACTCCATTGACTTCATTCTGGATGAAGGCAGCCAAGCGGGCATCAAGTTAGAGCTCAGCTCCGTACCGGGAGCTATGGACCGGGAACTACGGACCTTGGTTAAGCGCTGCTTAACGGAGATGGATGCTTCATCATCAAAGCGCAAAAAGAGGAAGGCTCGCATCTGCAAGGAGCCTGGTTGTGATAAATACGTAGTGGATCACGGTCTGTGCATTCGACATGGGGTGGGTTAGCTCAGTGGTTCCATGGTGTTGTTAGTACTCGTTTTCAAGTCATAGCTCATGAATTCGACCGTTGTGTGTATGCACGCAGGGTGGTAAGAGATGCAAGATGGAAGACTGCCATTGTCGTGCGCAGAACCGAGGGCTCTGCTGGAAACATGGTACGTTCGGATCTTGCTGGGATTTTACTGGCAAGTGGTGTCTAATGCCATCGCTCGTGTATGTTTTACTACAGGCGGTTGTACGATCTGCAAAGTGGAAAGCTGTGCTAAGCGCGCCAAGTCGCGTGGCATCTGCTGGTCTCACGGCGGTGGCACACGCTGCAAGAATGAAGAATGCTCCAAGATTGCAATCTCGCTGGGTCGGTGCTGGGCGCACGGTGGAGGTAAGTGCTGCTAATTGCTATCGATAGCTGGCAATGCGCCTTTACTTATCATGAATGTCGAATGCAGGCAAGCGCTGCTTGATCGAGACGTGCCAGAAACCAGCGTCCGAACGGACTAATAACTTCTGCACTGATCACTACACCTGGTATATGCAGCATGGAGATCCCACCATCGTCAATAACGAGCGGCAGTACTTGGCCCAGTCGATACAATAGGTGAAGCTGACCATCCCCCGCCGACGTGTAGTGCATCCAATGACGGATGTAGCAAGAGAATCATGTTATTGACGTACCATGACTAAAGATCAAGTGACAACCATCGAGATATTGCAATAGTGGAGCCAATTTCTCTGGGCAAGAACAAACAAATTCGTTGTGGCTTTCGTTATCGATTCTTACGCGACCACAACAGTATCGAGCTGATCCTCCAGCTCACCAACACAGCAAGCACGGCAATAGAAACGTGCACAATATCGAAAGACTAGGCTTGCTTTTGAGTCACTCAAGACACAAAGCCCAATTCCATGGCCGCCTTGTCAGCTAGGTTGCAAATGTTGTCGTCGTTACAGAGGTTGCGCACATTCGTAAGCTTTTCTGGATCCTTGAGCTTAATGGCGAGTTGAAGCGCATCGCTGTACAGGTCAAGATGGATAAGTGTCTCAAACTTTTCGTCCACGGACGTGATACGGGCAGTATAGTTTTCAGCCTGCTGTTTCTCGCCTTCCTCGAGGCACGCTATGGCGAACGCCTTGAATCCGCACGGCGGGTTCTTTTTCTCCATCGAGAACTTGTGCAGCGCATCCCACTGCTGCGTCTCAGCAAGAGCTTTGATCTTCACCCGGTAAAATCGTTTGTCTGGTATTTTAAACTTCTTGGCGAATGCCGCAACCAATGGCAGCAGCTTAGGTTCGTACTTGCTGTCGCGTATCAGCATCTTCATCGTGTTTGAAATTGATTGACCCACGAGCTTGCGACGCTTGACGTTCTCGGGCTTCTCTTCCAACTTGCCTTGCTCTTGTAGCAACTCAATCTGCTCTTCGGTTAGCTTGGCATGAGCCGGCAGCTTTGCGTTTGTGTACTTAGTTGCTGCGTCTTTCAGTGCCGTAACCTTCTCATCCACATCCGAAGTCTTGAACGAAAGCAATAGATCATTCTCGGCGCTAGCCACATCCGTCCAAAGCGCAGGGCTACCCGAGCTCTTTGTAGCACGATAGTAAAGAAGCATCAGGTTTACGGCTTCGGCATACACCGGTTCGCGGTTTAGTACGTAGCGGAACTCGTCCATAGATGGCAGAGTGCGCTCCAGGTGGAATAGTGTCATATACACGAGATCCGTGTTGTTGGACTCAAGAGACTTGCGGAGTGCCAGCTCGAATTCGCCCATGGACAACAATAATGGCACCTGGTCGGACGCATTTTCTTCCAGATCCAAGAACATTGTAGCTAGCCGCCGACGGTTTGCGCGCTCCGCACAGTTAGCAATGTCTGCGTACGACACCAGGGTCGCGTTCTTAAGTTTCTTGCGCACAAGTCCCACCAGCTCTTCATCCGGTACGTTGGATGATGTGGCCGCCTTTACCTTTTCACATGCCCAATGCACTAGCACTCGATCCGTCGGGATATTCAAATATTCGCAGATCTTGAGGGCTAAGAAATGGTGATGCATCGCCACAAGACGACTTACCACAACCTCCGCCGTCAGCCGATCAAATTGCGTCACAGTCAATGGGAAGCCAATGTCCTGCTGGCGCAGCGCATTCAGCGCGCGGATCTTGCGGCACATGTCGACAAACATCTCGGTGTCCATCATCGTGTTGCCACCTGCAGTTCCAGTACCTCCCGGAAGTGCCGAGGAAGCATCCATGGCCGAGTCTACAAAGCACTTGCCGTATGATGCAGCGCGCAGCAATGTTGTCTGCGACGCGTACTCAAACTCGCTGCCAGCAGCGTTCACACAATCCTTGATAGCGTCTTCCAATGCATTTTGACTCAGAATAAATCGAATATGTTCATCTGCTTTGGCATCACCCGAGTCAAAGGCGTCTAGAGCCTGATACAACATTGCTGCCGGAGCAGTAGACCCCACCCCCTTGATATTCTCGACACACGTCGGTACACGAAGTACGATATCATGTGAGGATGCAGTGTAAACTCGACAGCAGTCGACTTCTTGTGCCAAGACAATGCTCTCCGAGTACGGAAAACGTAGCCATGATCCATAAGGTCCTACCATGACTAATCCAGCACTTGGCCAGTACAATAACACTGAATCTTCTCCACACCAGCGCATACTTAATGGACTGGCCTTGCTCTGTGTATCAAAAGTAAGAATCTTCTTGTCCATCATCGTATTTAGTACTGTCAGGATCCCATCTTGCGAGAACAAAGCCATAAATAGACCATTCGGAGCAATAGCTACAGCTGAAATAGGAGCAGCAATTGAATCTTGCAACTTCATATCTTGAGCTCCGCCGTCTTTATTAACAATGACCAAGGATCGATTGCTTGTACCCAATAGAACATCAGGATAAATACTCTTCAAAAACTTGGGTTCCAGTACTGCCATGCACGTTGGTGGATTTGTCTCTGAGAGTCCACAATCTGGTAATAACGACACTTTAGGTCGGACAGAGTCAACCTCTAATACTTGAATAAGTGCCATTTTCTCGGTAAGAGCTACAAATCCTCCACCCCAAGCTTCAAATGTAGCCACTTTGTCCGTTGAACCTGGTGGTAAGAGTGCAAACCGCGTCTCTTCGTCTCCCTTCATGTTAAAAGCGACACAATTGCCACTCGTAAACACACAGAGAAGACGTAATTCATCCGTCCAAGTCATCCCCACAAGTGTCTCTTTTTTATCTTCAAAGGCTTTCCACTCCGTTGTCCCTAATAAGTGCCCACAGGCGTTAAAAAGTAGCAATTGACGGGTTAAAACACTATCGGATGCGACTTTTATCAGTTTTTTAGGATCACGGAGAAGCGCCACAGGGCCACCAAATGGCGCACAAGCTGATACATAATCACGAAGATCTTTCACTCCTTCTGAGGCCCAATTCATACCGTATACCGTCCATTTCTGGTACTGAACTTTGCCTAAAGTGTGCCATTCCGTCTCCATTTTAATGATTGAGCGGATCGGGGAATGTTTGTTAGGACATTGATGTGGTTCACACTAGAGTAGGATCACGGATGGAATGTACATCATATGACGTAAACCACATGAACATGGACACTTGTGGTCGAATGGCTACACTATCTTAGACATACTGTTATTATGGGCGTATCTATGTTAGACTTGACGCCATGTGCCATAATCTCGGAGATCCTGTGGTCCAAAGCTCATACGCATGGATTTACGGAGCGCCGGTTCTCGGTACAAGTCACTCGAGTCAGTATCAAGACCTGCCACGAGGTCCGTGTCACTATTTGATGAGAACATCAATAGAGCCGAAGATTCATTGAGTGTCTCCAATGGCCGAAGCGGACGAATTGGTCCATCCTCTTGAGCTTTTTCATCACCAATAAAAGAATCTTCTTCGAGCTCACCTTGTTCTTCCTTTACATCGCTTACTTCAAGCGGCTCGAGACTTGACCGTAGCATGCTCAGTGGGTACTCAGTCATGGTGGATGTCATACTGGAACCTTGCAAACTCGTACTGCACTCCAACGAGTTGTAACCACTACGTGCAATCATGTGGTATTGTTGCTCCTTGTCACGCACGTATCCCCACAATACGACAATGTACGTACCCATGAGCAACACAAGCACAGCAGCACTTTGTGTCGTTGTGCCCCGTTCAAGGATAAAGCCGCTCATGGCACCCTGATACAAGAGGAGACTCACACAGGTGGCGTGAGTGGCAGTACGAGCAATGCTGCCGCGTCCCTTGATGCGACGCCGCACATTCAACAGCGAGTACTTGTCCACGCTGTGTTGCATCACAAAGTAGAGCGTGCCCAATGGAAGAATCAAAGGCACGACAGTGCTAAACATGAGCACCACAGTCAGTGTACTGATTTGCATCGCCGACTGCGTGCCCGCGTAAAATTGGTCCGCCTCCACCGCCTGGACTTGCTCCCGACGCGTCAATGCACGCGGCTTTGCCCACGAGAATTTAACGTACTCAGTGGCACGCAGAAGGACAAGAGCAGTACCCAGAAAGCAGCGCTGGAGAACGTAGTCCACGTAAAAGATGCCGGAATTGTTTAGAAATAGCGTGCCGAGCATACCCAGCACCTCACCATCGTCCTCAAGGTACAGTAGAACGGCATCGATGGACATGAACGCCAGACTTGGTACGAAGATAGTGTTAAAAATCAGGTACACGGAAGCTGTGCGCAGGATCAATCTTTCCTTGGCTGAGTCCGTCGAGACAGGCTGAATGCGCCCAGCAATCTGCAGCACGTTCAGGAGCACTGCATTGATCATCACCAGGATCAGCGTGGGAATGTAGTTTGCCAGCAGTTTGGCCATGCGGGGGGATACCCGGTTCAGCAGATTACCGAGTTGTGCAACAAGGTCCGACAACGATTGAGCCGCGTGTGTTGAGTAAGATGTGCTACTGGTAATCGCCGATGTCACAGCAATAGGAGATGTGAACAGCAGAAGCACCACAAGGATGCATACATTCACCAACAGCACCACCACTGTGCGCTTCGCAAAGGGATACGACACACTCTGCCAGTCAATGTCATCCGGCTCTGGAGCTGCCTCCAGCTGCCATCGCGTCAGGCCCAGCTCACGCACATACCGCACGAGCCGAGACTGCGCGTGTTCCGGGAATCGGGCTAAGATGGACGTGATACTCTGATTTCGAACGCGGCGGACGAAGCGGGCACGGAGCCTTGCCGACTTGAAGACCACAAACGCGCGCCCAGCGCCCCTGTTATCATGCAAAATGCGAGACAAGCATGCCTCTTCCTTCTCTCGAATCTTGTCAATGTGGCGTATCACTTGCTCCTCTTGTTCCTCCATCGAAACAGGCTTGAAGCACCACTTGAAGCAGCAAAACAAATTCTTTAACATCAAATGCAGTGATGGAAGCATCATACCACCAGGCAGTATGCGGAGCGACCATGACGGCTTCTCGTCGCTAAGCTCACGCTCGTGCAATATCTTCATGCGTGCCAGTTCCGTTTCTTCTTTACGTCGACGAGCTTGCAGTCCGTGAAATTCAGCTAAATTAAACACGACGCTCACATCTTTTACGTAACCAGGAAAAACCTCATCAAGTAGACGAAGCATCCGTTGCTCACGAAGGGTCTTGGGGACTCCACGATTCACAAAGAGCGACCTGTTGCTAAGTGCAGAGGGTTGCATTCCAATGAGATGTGTGCGCTCAGATGTCTTTGCCTCCTGCTCTTTAACTGCAGCTACATCCTTTTCTTGAATGAGCAGCGGTTGCTTCTCTGCGTCCTCAAGTTCCTTAGTCTCAGCCATCGAGACACCGTCTTCGGGCACAGCAGCTTCCTCTTTTATACCAGTCATCTTGTCTCCTTCTCCCATCTTGTCTCCTTCTCCAGCCAATTGACCCGCTGAAGTCCCACTAGTCCCATTGGACATGATAGAAGACGAGCGTAGTATCACACTCTCACCAGACTTATGCTCTCGTCTCGAACTAGGCGTCGGGATCGTTGCCAACGCACTTAAATGTCGATAGTAGATCATGAACACAAGTGTCGTCAGGTAACACGTTACAACCGGTACCCAAAGATATGGTGACTCTCGCGGCATGACTCGGATCGTAGCATGAGCAAATGACCACCACTTGTTGTCGACAATAATGTCACTGTCACTAGCAACAGTACCAGCAGTAGCTTCTGCTCCCATCGCATAAAGATCTGTAGCTATAGCAGCTCGTCCGTCTGCGAGTCCTGCAATATTCTTGACTGCTGTCTCCGCAGCTGCTTCCATCTGCTGCAACGCATCGGCTCCAATCATGAGGTAAAGCGGTAGTAGCACCATCATTGCAAAGACACTAAGCGTCCCAAGGAATCGTGCCGTATACTGTTGATACAGCAGATAAAACGTGCCTTCTGGGCCAAGGCACAACTCCACGTCCGTGTCTCTTATAGGAGTACGCCATAAAAGGTCACTCCATTTCTTAAGTGTAAATTGAGCCGCTTCCTGCGCTTTAACGGACAAAATAGAGCTTGAACCAAAGCGAAAGAGACTGAAGCGAGTACTTCGTGCCCCTGCCTGGAAAATTGCTAATGCTACGAGAAACATGACGCCATTAAAGCCCAATACAAAACCCATACCCTGCCATCCCATGGCTGCATCCTTTGCAACAGTTGCATTGTAATCTACGTGCCAAATATTGTTTGATGGCGCGTCTGGTGGCGTGTCCTGCATGACACTACAGTACCCGACTAATTGGAGACGAGGAAGATTAGATTATGGAGGGAGAGTTAGCGGTAGACCTGATTCGGTCGATACATACAAAAATGCTGTCAATCTGGTTAGACAGGTACTGTGATACAACATATGACATAAGGATGACCAGCAAAAGCGTAACTATATGGCAAAGACGTTAGCGTTGTATTTCAAGCAATTTTACTTCCCTGTTGCTGTCTATCTTGGCTTTTTTCTTCTCTCTTCTTCCTTACAACACCTTCTTGTTTAAAGCACGCGACGTCTGGTGGATGACTTGGTCGAAAATACCAATGACGGTAAAGACACCGCCGATGATAGCGCAAGCCGACGTGACAAAATGGTAGAACGGCACCGTGTCCTCCGAAATACGCACAGACATCGGCGACAAGTCGTAACGGAACATGATGGACGGCAAGTCCTCTGTCTCCAGGTACTCGTTCGAGTGCGCCGTGTACTTGTACACGTTGACCTCTGATCCATCACTCTGCACGTACGAGTTTGTCACTACTTTGATATAGTGTACGTACGTGTGGTTCTTGTAGAACGATGTAAACTCCTCATTGTCCAATCGGTGCGTGTACAGCTGTGTCTGTGCTTCGCGCGGCAACTTTGCCATCTCACCAGGTACCAAGTGTTCGCCAAACCACAGCTCGTTTACTGTGTGCGACGCATTTACCAACGACGAGTCCATCGAGTATGCTGGGTTAGCCAAATGCACGTGAAAGTTGCCAGGCACGCGCTTGACATACAGGTGACCGTACAGACGACATCCCTCTGGGCCGACAGCTGAGCGAGCAATTGCATGCCCCTGCTCATGTGCATTCTTCTTGTCCTGCTCAAAGAGCTCCTTCTTGCGGGCTTCTACAGCATCCACCTTACCATCCATAAGCTGTTTAAACTTGCCCACAAAAGCTTCCACTGTTCGATCTCCAAAGTACATCTCCACAGGTGACAAATCGCCGTCCTTGTAGAATAAAATACTCGGATATGCACGGATAAACTGCGTCATGCAGAGCTGCGGGTGGGCCTGGCAATCGACCGATGCAACACGCAGTTGCTGGCCATAGTGTAGTGATGGCAGTGTCTTGGCTACACGAGTCCACACTGGCTCCATCCTTCTACACCACACACACCATGGGGCGAAAAAGTCTACCGCCACATAGTGATGTTGCTTCAGGAAAGGCTCAAAAGTATCTTCGTCCAGAATAGTCACGGTAGCGTCTGATTCAGGCAATTCACCGTACTCAGCGTCATCAGCGAATCGTGGCTTAATCTGATTCTCCTGAGCAAGGCCAACACTGCGGCCCTTTTGGTCCAATCGAATCTTAAAGATATTGGACGTCATGTTGTGTTTCCGTGTACCCGTCATATCCGATACGTCCACCGAAGCAAATTCACAAGGTAAATCCGGTACCGTAATGTTAAAGTTAATACGCATTGTCTGATCCAGTCCTTCGTCCATGACAATGTCGTACTTGTAATCTACAGTGAGGTAGCTATTGAACTCGAGAATAAAGAGCACAAACATGATGAAACAGCCAGCAATGGATAAACTGACGCCTGGTAACGTGCTCACGGTCAAGTCCTATACCAATATGAACATATATGTACCTAAATGTTAGAAACATTTCATACAACAAATACAATAAGTACTGGAAAATCACACCTCGGGGATCTTCTTGTAGAAGTCCCACTTCTTTAACACGTCAATGGCGCCCATAGCGACGTTATTAACACAATCAAATAGACTGAATGGATAGACAAGACGAGCTGTGGTCTGGTCAAGTCACGTCCAATGGAGAGATTAAGATGTGAGTCTTACGTGGCGTGCCAAGGGTGGGCTGGCTATATCAGATTTGACAGGGACTTATTTGTGCACACATGGATACATCCTAATCAATCGTATATAATGAGGTGATATACGGTACGTTTTTGTCAGCTTGAAGATGTCGGCCGTCGCCACAATCACTCTGCAATACAAAACTCCCTCTTCTTCTTCTTCCCCCTCTTGTCTCCATGGGCTTTTGCGGCGAGTGTGGCTCGTATCTGGCTCCGGATTTACAAACGTCCTTCTGTCCTAACTGCAGTACGTTTTCCTGTCTTTAATGATTTCAAAATTGTTCTCTAACTCGATGTAAAACCTGATTAAACGAATGTGACATTATTCCTTCAGATGAAGCGATTCCTGGCGCTGCTCCGGCCCCCATACGTCATGTGACGTTCGCATCGACAGAGGACGTGGAAAGTGCGCGTCAGGCACGTGAACTGGCCGAGCGACGCGTTCAGGAAGCCAAGAATTACGCCAATACCAGTCAAAAGGAGGCGTCCAATGCTATGACGCAGTACGAGGCGCAACAGCGGGCTCAAGTGGAGGCCCAAGCAGCTCGTGACAATGAGATGCGTGCTTTGTCAGCAGAGAATGAGAGGCGAGCCATTGATGCGCAGCGGGATGAAGCGACGCGACGTCGTGAGGAAGCGGAGCGTCAAGCTCAAGAAGCACGGGATCGAGCAGAAGCCATGAGACTGTCGGCTCAGAACGCAATCTCGGACTATGAAGCGCAGCAACGAGCGGCTGTGGAGCGTGAAAACGCACGTATACAACAGGATCTGGAGTCGCAGAGACAGCAGCATCTACAGGTGGCACAGGCGGCTCGTGAACGACGAGAAAATGCCGAACGAATGGCCAAGGAGAAGCTCGCGAGGGCAGAAAAATTGCGTGCGGAAGCGCAGGCTGCACAGGAAGAATTGAAGAAACAAGAAGCGAAACGTGCGGCAAAAGAGAAACAGAAAGTAGAAGCTAGAAGATTGAGAGAAGAGCTGGCACGACGGGAAGCAAACCGACGTCAGGCAGAGGAAGAAGCACGGAAGGCATTTGAAGCGAAGCGACAAGAGGAGCAAATTCGACAGGAAGCTAAAAGACAGGAGGATCAGCTACGTCAAGAAGCTATGCGACTATCGACACTGTCTGTCTCTGCTAGTGCTTCTGCCCCTGCAGCGTCCAGCTCATGTGTGAGCTGCCGTGCAGCGCTAAAGCCAGCGCAGAAGTTCTGTTTACAGTGTGGAACTAAAGTGGCTGCCGCTGGTTTTGCATCCAGCAATAGCTTCACATCGCCGGCCTCATCTACTTCCAACAGCAGCTTTTTTCCAGTTCCGCTACCGCGTACGAATTCATCTGCATCCAACTCATCTACGTCGTCTTCACTTCCTGGTAATGAGCACAGCTGTTCGTCGTGCCATTTCACGCTCAAACCGACACAGAAATTCTGCCCAAAGTGCGGCACGAAGGTGGTTGCAACTGCTTCACCTCCCGTTCCAGTGACAGCCTCATTACCTGTGTCATCTACTAGCTCGGCAGCCTCAAGTACTTGCACAAAGTGCAGCCAGTATCTGAAACCGACCCAGAAATTTTGTCTGCATTGTGGAACGAAAGTGATCGCAACTACGACACCTGCTACCCCATGTCCGAGTCTCTCATCGTCGTTATCATCAGTGTCGTCGTATACTTCCGTACCGCTGTCGTCCCCAATCCATACGTCGGAATCTTGGTCAGCGTCCTCCTCCCAGCTCAACACTAAAAATTGTCCGACTTGCAGCAAGGAATGTAAGTCTACGGCCAAATTTTGCATGGGCTGTGGCTTTAACTTCGCCAAGCGCGACGAAGAAGAAGTTGCACGTAACATGGAGATTGCACGTCTGCGTCAACAACGAATTCGAGACCAAGAGCAGCAGCAGCGTAACCAGGCCTCGCTTATAGCCAACCAGGCGGCACAAGCTCACCAGCCATCATGGTAAATTGACTGCACCTGATAGCTTGTCCTTGTAGAGAAACAAGTAAAACCAGCAGTATACCGGTATTTCTGAAAAGTAACATGACAAGTTGTGAAACGACATTCTGATTCGAAAAAAGAAGCTATCGTTACCGAAAACAGCAGCAGAATGATTGTTCCTACCTAAACCATGTGCAATACACAAATCCTTGTAGAGAAACACCATACGGACAAGTAAAACCAGCAGTATACCGGTATTTCTGAAAAGTAACATGACAAGTTGTGAAACGACATTCTGATTCGAAAAAAGAAGCTATCGTTACCGAAAACAGCAGCAGAATGATTGTTCCTACCTAAACCATGTGCAATACACAAATTGTGTCGTGGTGGCCATTCGTCGGGATCATCGAAGTATGTCACACACGTTCCTGCGTTCTCGCCACCTGCTGCGGTCACTAGCGGCCCCGACGGCTTTTCTCGCCGTGTCATCTGCTCGGTTAGAATCTACAGAATCTACAGAACCTGAAGCAAATGCGTCGCCTGCTGTGGACTTTATTGGCGTCTTTGTAGAGAAAGAGTCGGCTGCACGATTGCGCCAGCAATATCCGAGCAAGTTTAAAGGCGAAGATAACGAGCCATTGGTGGTTGTACTGCAATTTCAGCCCACGTTTCAGGAACAGGAGGCGTTTGCTCCTATTTTAGGCCTTTCAGCTAGTCTGCACGTCCAGGGACTGGCTGAGGATGACCATATTCAGACGGTAATGATACTTTAAACCGGTTGTAGGCTTGTTGAACGTTGGATTAGTCGTTTTTAACCTAACGGATGCGTTGTTTAAGGTGTTGGTAGCTGTCACGACGGAGACGGGTGAGTCACTCGAGTATGAAGGTGCAGCAGAGCCCGCACATTTGACGCTATCGACGTCAGCTGGAGGACTCAGTACTGGTTACTCCAGCGTACTGCTGGAGCGTCTACGTGCCAGCGACAAGCTCCGCTACCTGCTAGACGACGAGGAGACGACACCACAATGGACGGGCGAGCTGCCGGCCTTCGATTCGAAACATCTGCCGCTGTTCAGCCCTTTTCCAGCCGTGAAGGCCACAGTTACCAAGCTGGAGTCGAAGCAGAGCAAGGAGCTGGCACTGCAGGGCACTGTGTGTCTATCTTCTCGCTTTGACTCAGCTACTAGGGAGTGCACGGCACCGAAGGCAGAGTGCGGCTTTTGCAAGTTCATGAAGGCAGGTCCATGCGGCAAAGAGTTCACGGCCTGGGAGGCCTGTCTGGATCATTGTAAAAAGAGCGGGGAAGATTTTATTGAACAGTGCGGACCTCAGACCTTGAGACTCCGGGACTGTGTCGATGCTAACCCGGAGTACTACCACGTGCTGCACGACAGCCCTGAGGAAGAGGACAAGGAAAAGGACGTTGAGGAGATAAAGTCTGAGACGAAAGACAAGAAGTGAGCTGCTAGCGTTTTGTTACTTGATAAGGCAACGAGGTTTTCTAGCTTTTCTTCTACGCGCGCGTAGAATAGCTAGACTAGCATTGAGGTTACAGAGCCAAAGCTCTATGATCAAATACAGACCGGAAGTGCGCCATTTTTTCTTATGATACCGATACGTCGTATTCCTTGGCGACATTTCGTCTTTAGCAACGAGTCACACGGACAATGGTATGATCTTCTATAATGAATACATGCTTGTGCTTTAGTAGCGGTGAAATCGCGTAGATTTTACAGAGGAAAACTATGAGCATGTACTGTATAGGATCAACCCACAATAGCACCAAAAACCTCTTGCAATTTCCTGATAATGTGTGCTTTACATTAACTGACCGTGGAACTCGTGAATTTTGTTTAGTAATACATAAATCCCCAAACCCTATTACGGCTGCATGTGCCCTTCCATTGCTGACGCAATCATGCGCGAGTGGCGAAAAATCCACAAGCGCTTTGGCCTGTCCCATGCTCGACGTTGAAGTGTAAAGCGACTTAATGAGTAGAAGTGCGGTTGTTCTTGGGAAAGGGGTACATGGTCTGTTTTTTACCTCCAATTGCACTATTGCGTCGGGGTTTGTCATAATAAGTGTTCTCTCCTTCCTGTCTTCTTCTGGTTCACAACCTGTCAAGACTTGGCAACGTTCTTCATACATAAGATACTAAAGTTAAACACCTCATCCATGCCCCCAAGTCAAGACTCTGATATGACGACGTGCAGCTTTACCACCAGCAGCGTCAGCACTTGCATCGCTGATGATCATAATCACAGCATCTACGCACGCGCGTGGCGATTCGTGCAGCGTCGACTGCATTTGCGACAGAGATCGTGCTCGTGTCCTGTAGCCATGGAGACGACAAATACAGTAGAACACCCGCGCTTACCAACCAGTAACTGGCAACGGGTCCACATGTTAAAGGACGAGAAGTGTCACGAGTACATCACGGACACAGCAGAGTGGACATCTACGGACGTCCGAGCACCGCCAAGATTTTGGACACATGCGGAGCGCAAGGCCGCGCAGATCACGTGCTACAACTGTGGGCGGCTCTTTTTCCGACAACTGTCTGTTGCGCCGGACGCGAGCGCATTCTGCGGTCGCGACTGCCAAAGCACTTTTGAGTACCGTCGTGATCTGCAAGATGTCGTGAACGAGTGCGAACGCCACTTCCAAGCCACAGTCAACTGGACACGGAGCAGTGAGCTGTAGCAGGCAACACCACACCAGTTGATAGCGTATGATGAACAGAGTATTTATTCAGTGTCGGCAGATACTAGGAGGTAAAGTGCTGCGAGAATAGCAGTAGACATACAAGCGCGACACTTGGTGATAGCGACAATGCGCTCTCTTGTGCAAACTCCTCCAGTCGACAACAAAACCTCATCGGATCACACCGTCCGTCGATGACTCGAAAAACAGGCGGTCGTCCTGTAGCGAGATGGACGTGGGCTTGTGCAGCTGCAACGGCCCAATCTTATCCTGCTCCAGGTCGTCACACGTCGTGAAGCAGTGCGCGATGGAAATGAGCTCTGCATCAAAACTCTGGCAGACAATCCGCGCATGCACATTGCCGCCGATACCAGCAAGAGCGCGGCCCTTGAGCACGCCTAGCACGACCACGTCCTCATCTGCCATCACCTCGGCGCCAGAGCTTACATTACCCAGTACCATGAGCGACCTGTTCTGGGCGAAAATCTGCTGTCCCGAGCGCACCGAATGAGTCACCACCATCGGCGGAAGCGTCTCTGCTGCCGTCTGGATAGAGACGGATTTATCGTCTTCTACAAAAGCCGTTGCTGAATTAGAAGTGATAGAAACCTCGTTCTGCTCCATGAGTTCTTCCTCCACTGCAGCTATTCCAGCCTTCTGCTGCTCCAGATGCAGCCTTGTGCCAATAAAGTAAGGCAGATCCAGACCAGCAGCAACTTTCTTGACGTCTTCACTGGCATTAGAGATGCCCACAGGAACATACCCAGATTCCTATAAAACAAGACACACAAAATAGCACAATTCAGCACACTTGAATTCGTCACATCCTTGAAGGTCACCATTAGAAATCTCACCTGTAGTTGTAAAATCTGATTTCTCAATTCATGTCTTTTAATTGACTGTGAGTGTGGCGAGCCTTCAACAAAGTATACATTACAATTAAGGAAAATTAATTAGAACGAAGAAAAAGGTACTCTACGTCAACATGAACCACCCAAAAATCAAAATTGACCCAAATTTTGCAGCAAATTTAGGTAAAAGACAGTTGCAAGTTAAGGGTATTTTTAACGAAAAACCCACCGTTACTAGAAACTTGGTGCAAGTCCAAGACCACTGGCGTGGGTCTATTAGTAGCTCTAGCCTGGAAGAATTGCTGTAAGTCCTTGACGTCTTTGTCGTTTACTTTAGGCAGTGTCAACGTGGGCAAAAGATACGACCGACCGTGCAAATCGAGCAACTTGGACGCTGAGGGTTTTACTGTAGAAACCCGTCGGCCATTCGAGACTTCTTCCAATCGTCTCAGAGCTTGTTGTGAAAAAGCTCTTGGCCGCTGCATGTGCATATACTGTAGAAACGTAATGGTTTATTGTTGAAATGATAGGGTGGTATACGTCAGAATACTTATTTAGGCGTATACTCGTAGATAAAGGTATTATTGACAAGTTATACTGTAAGTATTGCTAGTAGATATACCAAAATACTTGCTTAGCGTGGTACTGTCTTAGCTAATAATTTGTATTAACTGATAGATACCTCTCGTCTTAAGGGTACCCAGTTACATAAAATCGTGAAAGAAAGGTGTAATTCACATATGTGTTCTGTTCAAGTACGATTATGTAATTTGAGAAAAGTATACTGCGATAGGTACTATGATGGGTAAGTATACGCTAAGACAGGTTTTGTATAGACGGCTTCTTCAAATCGTATTTCAGTATGTCGCCACAAACTATGGAGCTATCGTCCAAGACTGACGCTGTCACTACTGAGTCTGCACAGCTTTTGACCAATGCACACCCGACACCGACCATCCCATCGTCAACTGAACTTGATGTCAAGCCCATAGACCCCTCTGTCACCTTTAGCGGATCTCTGGAAGCGATGCAATATGTCGTCGTCCCAGCCACACAGCTGGACGTCTCTGTTCCAGCTTCTGAGGCTACAAGGGCATCTGCAGAGTTGACGAGGAAAGGAAAGGGCGTTGGGAAGCGGTTGACAGATCGGCAACGTGTAGAGATTTTGAATCTGATGGAGAAAAGCAGCGGCAGTTTGTCAAACGCCGAGATCGCGAGACGCTACGGCATCACGCGCGCGGCCATTCAGAAGCTCAAGCAGAAAGGTGCAGAGGTGCGCGCTCGTTACCGGTACGGTAGTGCTGAGACTAGGGACGGACGAAAGCGAGGGGGCCACGTTTTGAGTGTGCCATTCGAACGAGAGTTGTTTGAGTGGGTGCGAGGGCTCAAGGCGCGGAAGGTGCCGGTTCCACCATCTCTTGTCAAGGAGAAGGCCAAGTTATTGGTGCCCAAGTATGGGCTGGGAAACTTTCAAGCATCGAATGGATGGTACTATAACTTTTGCAAGCGATTCAATTTGTCTACGGGCGTGTTGGTGGAGGAAAAGCCACCTGTACTTACACCTGCAGATGTAGCAACGACAAATGCCGATGATACAAGCTTGGACACAGACCAATCGCAGCTCCAGCAAATGACAATCGATACTCTGGAGCAGCAAACGTACGAGCAGCAATTGCAACAGTACCAGCAGCAAATTGCTGCAATTTCTGCCGCGACTCTGCAGGAACAGCAACAACAAGTGCAGGTACAAGAGCAGGAACAGAAAAGTGCCATCTTGGGAAACCAATCCAAAAGTGATCGAATGATAGAGCTTCTCGAGCAGCAAAACACCATTCTCGAGCGCCAGAACAGTATGATTGAAGATCAAGCCAAGACCATCGAAAAGCTTTTTGAAGTGGTGACTAAGGGCGGCACGGCACTATAGGTCGCCTGATGCTTGATGGAGCGCGAATATACGTAGTGAACGATGCACTTCTTGCTCTCTCTCTCGAGAAAACGTCAGATTTCGTGACACCGAAATCGAATTGAAACCCGAGGGCAATGGAACAGTAATGTTCGAAAACTCACTGAATACTCCTCCATCTTGCTTTCGTGAGTCTGGTTCTGGCCGTTTGATACAGGCGCACTTGCCAAGCCTCCGTTTTCGAAAGCTATGTAGGGCTTTGCAGCTCGCGTCACAGCTCCATCAATCTCGAAAGAGACTTCCACCTGGATGCCACTCTTGCTCGTGGTGTCGTAGTGTGTCTTTCGATGCCCTCGTCGATTAATTGAATGCTGCGGAGGAAGAACCTGTGCTGTCGAACAACTAGCAACTCACGCTAGAATCACTGGGTGTCACGGTGGTCGAAGCAAGTTTAGTCTATTGTGCTAAAAACTGCTCGATCCACTTCATCACGGACGTCATTATGATCAGGCCCTTCTTATCGTTGCAAAAGTCTTCGTCGGTTGACTGGTAAGAAATCACGTTTTCGTTTGGCGGGTTTAACAAATACAAGAGGAGAATACAAAAGTATCTTATAATTGTTATGCTCCAATGTTCGGCCTCCCGATTGCAAGCGAAAAAGTAGTTAATTTGGTCCCTATATATTTTATAAAAAACGAAACGTTTTTAGTTCTTTTTCGTATGTCCAATGAGATGTTTTAATTTGACATTCTGACCAATCAGATTCTAATATAGTAAAATGGTTGCTGGTTACCAAAAAGGTGATTGATAAACAACGCCTCCCAAATCTTGGCGCGTTATTTTCGTCTGTCACTCACTACAGTATACTGTACAATAAACATGACCACGGTACCACCAGCTCCATTACCAATGGCACCTGTGGACGTGACATCCGACAGCACGCCTACTTGCTTATCTTGGAAGCAACAACGTCCCAAAAAACAATACAAACAGAAACAAAAGAAAGAAAATGGATCACAGCCACTTGGCAATAACAAATCAAAGCGTCGTTGTCACAACCTTAAGCAGCCGTTGACTAAGGACATGCCGCGTCTGTTGTCCATGCTACTAAAGGAGCCCAAGGTGGCGTTATTGCATCGTGTGGTGAAGAATGTAGGGCCTAAATTGTCCTGGCAGCTGCTGCGTGAGACACTGCGGCTGGAGAAAGACGGTGGACAATCGGTTAATGCTGAGGCCAGTGGCAAACCCGAGCTTTTTTTTGTGGTAGACGAGGTTTCACACGAGTACAAGCCACGACGTCGTACCTCGGGTGGTGTGTTTTTCACGTTATTGAAGGAAAAGGTGTCAAAAGAGGTGTATCGTACAATCTATGAGGTAGAGGACAGGAAGAAGAAAGATGCGAAGAAGCGAGCTCGTAGTCGACAACGCCAGAAGATGGACAAGACGTTGGCTAAACTGGGCTTTGATGACTTGACACTTGTGTCGGAAGACAAAGACTTTACAAAGGCATGTGGCAACAAGATCGAAGCTCCAGTAGCTTTTAGCGGTGAAGCTGTGGATGTGATTGTTGAAGACGGAGAGGTAGCAGAAGACATGCAGATCACTTAAGAGGAGTACTGGGTGGTTTTGATAATTACGTAGATGAATAAGGTACTCCATGCTGCTCGCTCACCGAAGCACGGTAAACAACGTCAGCAGTAGCGACTTCATCAAATGAGCACATTTTGAAACCTTTCGTCGAGGTAACGTGACTTGTATTCATTATGGTCGACATATTGATCGTCGGATGGCCTTATTTAAGTCGGTTTTGTGCACCGGTTAAAAACTGCAGGGCACACAGTTGCACTTTCTTTTCTGCAAGGTAGACGCACTAAATAGCCCCCCTCTTCTGTGTAATTTTACAAGTTGAACTTGAGCATGGAAAACATGTCGCAGGTAGGATCAAGTGAGACGGTGCTGGAGACACCATTCTTTTTTTCTCACTTGGCTTCACTATAGTGAAGTCTCATTTTGCAGTACGAAAAACGTACTTAACAGGAATCGACCAATGCTGGACATGACGAGCAACCTCATGCTAAGCGACATCATGGAACTGGAAAACTTGAAGCAGATGGTGGAGTACAAGATCACTACATCCATAGACGCGATGTTTTCGTCTTCAATCGTAACGCCGTGGCCACCTTTTGCAACAAAACAAAAAGGACGCAATCATTTAGAGACAGCTAAAACCAATAAGTTTAAAGACACGGAAGCCAAAGTTCGATTACGTATTTATGAACGACGGAGTCGTCAGAAACGACACGTGAGCTAAATGATCTTTTCGTGTGACGTTTTTCTGTACATTTTTGTATCGTCATGGTCTTTTTTCTGACTATTTCTGTTTACTATAAATCGTAGAACACAATGCTGACAATGAAAACAACCGTAGCGGTCTTGGAAACTCACCTAAAGAAATTGTGTCAAGGTCAACAGAATGCCACAAATTCACTCATTTATATGATTTCAGAACTTACGATGGAAGCGACGTCCCTTGCCAATCACAATTACAATTTACGTAAAGTATTGGATGACCATCACTTTTTTCACTTGACGTTGCAGCTCGAGTACAATTGTGTACGTTGCTACAAGTGTCTTTTGTCTACTTGGTTGGCTTTCTCTGACTAAAGACTTAATGGAAGAATGTCCTGACTTTTGTTTCTTCTTCGATATGCAGCGAGAGACGACGACTGACTCGGTAGTTGAAGAGTTGTTCGATCTACAAATGCCATGCTCGTGGCGTCCAATCGAGGAGACAACATGTCTTCGTATCATGCGGGACTCGTTCCTGGAGATCGTGGCTTTTTCCAATAGTGACGACTTTGTTTCAAGCGGTCTAGAGATTTGTGGGTGGCGTGAAAAGCGCAAACTCGTGAATAACAATGTCAACTTTATGTTTCACAAAAGATTCGCCAAGGACTGCAGTGAGGATTTGGCTACCCGCAGCTGGAAAATGCGTGCTGTTCAGGACCAAGTGACGCGCTATTTTGGTCATAGCCTTGCGGTCAAGGTCGAGGTGCTCCAACGCTTTCAAAACGACGTAGTGGTTGTACGCCGTAAGATCAAGCACACGGTGGACGGGTGGGTGCATCACACCATTTATTTGCTGTTCCGCACCACGACGCCGGACGGACATCTCGTGTGTATTCGGGATATGAACCCCACTGACACAGACGACCTGCACCTCATGTCAGGATCGGTCTCCGAGTGCGTCATCTGGTCGAAGGCCTTCATCTGGTGGAAGTTTACCAAATTACCAGAAGCGGAAGGCCAGCGGATGGGTGGCTTTGAAGTTGAGTATGGAGGGTCACTCGGGTCTGCTACACAGGCTGACGCAGCATATTGGTTACGTGAGGTGCTGGTACTGGCACTGCGGTGGGAGAACTTGGTCGTTGGACCATTGATCACGCTGGGCTAAGGCTAAGAAGATATTGATGGGACGAGTGCAGGAAGCCAACGGGAGGATTATCGCAGACTGACTGGTCCCAAGTCAAGGTTAGACGCAGGCGTTTGATATTTAATAGTCGAGAAGAGCTGTACATTGTAGAAATTCCTTGTTCGTCAGTTGGGTTTGTATGGAGGTGCCTTCGAAAGCAAAGCCGCGCTGGACAGGTCGTGACTCGATTTGCCTAGGCCTTGCAGTCTTCGTGGTCATCAATGTGATAATGTGCCTCTGGGTAGCGGCGATTTCAATGTCAACGGCGCGACGCCAAGCTACCTCAGTCTTCTTTGAATTGGAGAAAGCTTCAGTCATCGAGTTCAATCTCCGCCTGCAAACGAAAATGAGTTCCATGCCGGTCAATGTGACCGGGAGATTACAACCTCGTCACTCCGAGTGCTCACGCAGACTTCATTTCGATGGACGGATGATAGTGACGACTTCAAATACAAGCGAGATGTTCGTACTGATGAACCACCGAGGATATCGCCGTCAACTTAATGCAAGCGACGTGAATGCAACTTGTTTAACGACTCAGGACATTCCACCGCTTCACACATTAGCCGACACCGTCTACAGTGCATTTCGACCATTAGTCTACGATGCGTTCAAAGTCGATTGCAAACCGCTGCAGGTCACATTCTACGACATGCCGTTCGTCGTGTGTGCGGAAGATTGGCTTCGGGCAAGGTTGGCTGCCAAGAACTTGACCCATTCCACGAAAAATAATCAACAGACTAGCCACGACCCCGTGTTGATCATTCATGGCAAGAAGTCCGAGCTAGAGCTCACCGTCTTGTCCAACAGCATCCCGTTTGATGCCGAGCAACCTTTTAAACATTTGGATTACTGCGAGTATCTTGACGCACCGATGACTTCAGGCGAGTCCTGCGTAGTCCAAACAATACCAGGTCCCGACGTATGAGACGTGTAGAGATGATAATGCAAGGGATGTAGTGAAAAGTAGGGATCGTGCTTGTCCTCGATGTCTGCCATTTGACAGACCCTCCTCTATAGCGATAGGTTTCACGATGAGACACTTAACCACTTTGAACTACAAGTCATTTGCGTTGCCGAGGTGTTCGACAATTTGTCTTGTTTGGGAAGCTGCGCTGATGTCGACCGTTGTTTGCCGCCTCCTTTCTCTTCTAACCACATAAAGCTTTGGTGTTCACACTTGTCAAAAATGGATGGCGAAGAGCAGCAAAAGCGCCTGGTGCACTTGAGCACGGTGTCTCTTGACTCAACTTACGATCAAGATGAATCAACAGAAATTCTGAAGCGACCGATTCGCAGCCGATGCGTTTGGACACCATTTATGGTTCTAGCTGGTTTGATCTTGGTCGCCGTTGGGCTGGTGCTCGCGCTGGATCGTGGAAACACTGATCACGAAGGAGTTGTGGTGGATTCCTCAGATGAAGATCCGAATTTGACAGCATATTCATCGTTGACAAGTGGTGAAGGTCTCAGTGCTCCTGAAAAGAAGTTGGTTGAGTGGCTGAACCAGGCGCATAATGCAAGTGAACTCTACGTCATAGGTGGCAGCAATAACATGAGTGTTACCGGTGTCCTCTTTCCACGCCATGGTGGCGACACATCGTTGCCTTTCAATGCCATGGTGGCAATAGATTCCATCGGACCCCTTCCACGCCGACAATACGTAGCTCTGGCAAACGGACGAGGGTTCGAATGGGTCGTGACCTCGCTGGGTGCTGGAGATATCATCATCACCAACGATTGCTTGACTAAGAGCGACAGTGTGGTATTCGATGAGCTTGACTCGATTGTGTCGACGGCAAACTGGACATCGTCTGAGATTGATAACGAGGATGAAGTGAACGTCATTTTGGATGAAGTAACCTACACGGTGTCAAAGGAAGAAGATGATTATTTCTTGAGTGAGGAGGTGGTCGATCAATGCTGGATGATTGAAAGCGAGGACGAGGAGTTCGAATTGCGCATTTGCGCCTCAGTGGCTGGTGAGCAGCTTCCGCCAACGACGTTTGAAGATTTGTTCAATGCCACTAGTGAATGCCCTCAACTTGCACCAATGGCAACACGTACGACGCTTTCTGTTCCTTTACCGTTGCGTAAATGGTATGCTAGCTACCAAGCGTAGTGAAAGACATCTTCTAATACGATATCTTCGGGTTCAATGACGTCTTGAACGAGTTCTTGGTGTATTGTAAGAAGACCTTGTTCTAACGCTTGGAGAATAAATCTAAGAAACCACGAGTTGGAGCTGATCAATGATGGAATCAATGCCCAATATCTACTTTATGTTCCATAGCCCAGATATTAGTTGCTAGCAGTATCTCCCAGCTTCAGGCAGTGTTTCAAGCCAACGAAGCAGTTCAAAGTGGTTGTGCTCGCGAGCCTCACCACTAACTGCCTCAAATCCAAAGCGTCTACGATCGTGGTTATATAGCCACTGAAGTAGTTCTAAATCTCCTCTTGTCGCCGCCTCTACTGTCTTAGGAAGAAGAGAACGAAGACGATTGTTCTCTTTCAAAAATTGTAGTACTTGCACTGAACGTGATTCACCCGCCAAAGCCGTGCAATATTCGCTACGGTTCATGAATAGATATCTCACTACGCTACAGTGTCCATTGCGCGCAGCATTATCCATTGCCGCTGTCGTACAGCCTTCCTTCCGGTTTTGATGAAGAAACTCCACGATATCTAGGTGACCGTTAGCAGCAGCACGATCCATCGCAGCCACTGTGCACTGTACTCTTTCAGCATTTTCGTGCATCCAGCGCACGACAGCCAAATATCCACCTGCTGCGGCATCGTCCATTGCGTGGGTTGTGAAGCGATAACCTTGATGATGCAGCCACATAATGAACTGCAGATCACCGAGACTTGCAGCACCATCCACGCGAATACGATGACGTTGGTGCGATAGAGACTCAAATGTGTTTTCCATCCACTCAATAATTGCTTTGTGGCCACCAGTAGCAGCTCCACGAACGACATGTGCTCGACGACAATGCACCGAGTAGTTATTAGCATGCAGCCATTGCAACACACCTAGATATCCCTCCCTGGCTACAGTGTACAATTGATATGTATGAATTTCAAAGCGAAAGCGCCGATCAAAAACAGCAGCTTCCACTGATGCTCGATCATGAAGCCATTGCAAAATCTGACACTGTCCATACATGACTGCAGCAGCCAATGCTGCCTGCATCCACGACGTATAAGCCACCACCACCGTTTCCATCACATATTGCACAACGTGCAAGTGTCCTCCTGCAATCGCATTTTCCAGTGTCCTGAACGTTTTGATCTCGTAATATCGTGAATTATTAAGCCATTGGACGACTTTCAAATGTCCGTGTAAAGCCGCTTTTTCCAGCCCTCGTCGAGTACATCGGTTGCCCAATACACGGTCTAGAAATTCCACCACTTTCATCTGATTCTGTGCTAATGCAGTATCCATGACATTCCATCCAAAAGCATACGGACCTTTCATGTCGCAATACCATTGAACCAAATCCAATCGACCATTGGCTGCTGCATGAGCTATTGCATCTTGACTATCCACTGCTGCATCATCGACCATTTTAGTACTAAATTCAGTATGAAGATAGTGTACCATTTCAAGATTTCCACTATATAAAGCTGCCCGTTCGACTCCATGAAATTTGCCTTTTGGATAATATTTCGAATGTAACCATCGTATACCGGTAAAAAACCCTCGTGCCGCCGCGTGATTTAACGCTGTTTCAAACTGATATTGTTTATAACGTCGTGTTAATTCAGACGACCAATGACAGACTTTTATTTTTTCACGAACTGCCGCATGTTCTAACAGTGTTAAAGACTGTGATGTTAGTGGTTGATTTTGTGCTGCAATGGCAACAGAGAGAACCTTCGAGACGTCCAGAAAAGCCTTAAAGTGACTAATGACGTGATCAAGTGCTTGGACTTGAGGATATGCACGCACAACGACGTCAACGCAGAGAAAAGAGGGACAAGACGAGGACATAGCAGTCATTGGGCGTGTTTAGAATAGAGATGAGAGTGTGCAATCATTTGAATACAGCGACCCCTCATTGGAGTGACAACGACTTTAATTACTACTACATAAAGGTACATACTCAATGGTGTATAAATAAATCTAAACTGTTCAAATTTCCAGAAATTGTACTTTTTGGGGGTTTTAATACACGACTCCAAAATTATATACGTTTGTCTTGTGTAAGTGTGCAGCGTTTACCATTCAACAATACACAAATGATCGATTTCTTGTGTGATACAACACCGAGCTTAAGCCGCAAGTGGTTCTTAGGGTACCCGACAAAGCCTAAAGAATAGCTACTGTTGGCTATAGCTGGTGACAATGGAAGGTTTTGTATTCGGAAAGACTAGTCAATACTGGACCTCTCAAAGCTGCGACATGCTACTTGACCACAAAAAACAACCCTGCACTCCCCATACGCTAATTTGTAACGGGATTATACGACGGTTGTAGCGTCTTTCCGAGAGTTTACGGTTGAAGTTTCCTTTTATTGCATATAATGCATTTTGATACTTTTCTTTAGAGAGGTGTTAAGTATTAGCGTTAAAGATACGGTATTCGGTAATACCGTATCTTATCGATTAGGATTCGATAAACCGATAACGCTGTACTAAGGACATCATACACAGATGTTTAGACGATATGCCGTCCAATAGCAAAGTCTGCATATAATAATTACTATTATAGTAATTAATCTAGTGTACTTAGAGCAGGACTATTCATAAAATCTTAATGCATAAATAAAATCAGTTCTCATTATGAGTTTAAGATCACAAGTCGTTCTGACTTGTTCGCTTGTGCACTTCGTGCGTTGGTTCTATGAAACTTTAAGCTTCTAGCTTGTTCTTGCACACGTTGCGTTGGTTCTCTGAACCTTAAGCTTATTGCTTGTTGACTAAAGGTCTTTTTCCTCGTTCCTTAGAACAGGGTGACTTTAAGTCGTTTAATTAGTTCCATAGAACTAAGTGGCTTTTAGCCTTAACTCTATTTAGTTCTCTAGAACTAAGAGGCTTTCAGCCGAAAGTCTTCCTCTGGCTAAAGAGCTGTGTAGCACCGCTACACTTGGTATCATATGTAGTCAATCCTACACTTGAGTCTTTAAAGACTGACCCTCTGTGAGGATGGAGAATCACAATCAACTCTCTGAGGCGCAACGACTCGTGCTTGATAATTATCTGCGTTCGTTGGGCCCGATCAAATCGAGGCCCTTTTGGCCCAAGGCCCGGAGGTCCTCAATGCTCGCCTTGAGGCCTTCATGCGTTATAATGCAACGCTACTCGGGCATGTCCATGACCAGGCAGCGTCAGCTGCGCTAACGCAATACATCCCGGTACCTGTGCCCGATGCAGAGCCAAAGGCTCGCCCACTCGTGTTAAACGTTAAAACTTTGAGGGGAAAGAGGGATAAAATATTTTCCTCTGGATTCGAGAAGTTGAAATGGCAATGGATGTCGCCATGTTGTTTCAGATAAGCAACGAGTTGGCTTGGACATTTCTAAGCTCGGTGGAAGCGTAGAGAGTGGGCTCTAACGAGCGATATCTCTGTAAATGCCGCATTTTCCACATGGGAAATGCTTAAAAAGCAATTAACCTGTGTGTTTGCACCGCCTAATCAGGCTTATCGTGTGCGCTCACGCTTCCTAGCTACCCGACAGGGTAAGAAAGAATTGTCGGACTACGTCCAAGAGTTGCGAAATCTAATTGCTGCTATGCAGCAAGACCCTCTGGCAGAGGAAGTCCGAGTAACCATTTTTATGGAAGAACTTCGTAATGGGGTCGCCAGGACAGAAGTTTTCCGTGTCCAGCCTTCGACTTTCGAAGAAGCAGTAAGCATAGCGTTTAACGCTGAGCTCAAATTCACATCTGCTCGCTATGGTCTGCCATGGTATCATTCAAATGCCTCTAATAGGGCGGAACCCATGGACCTCAGCCATGCTGAAGAAGCTGAGCTTCAAGCTGCAGAGCAGCAAGATAACATCCGTAGATGTTACCCGTGCGGAAGCACTAGGCACCTTCACCTATCTGTACGTTACGAAAGAAATTTTAGAATCGGCAGAGCTGTAACCCTGCTCTTAGCCAAAAGGCGAGCACGGCAGGTAAAAACGTCAGCTCCCAGTAGGCGCGGGGCACCCTACTGGGAAAGAACTAAGTTTTGTTGGATCTTTAGGAGGTAAAGGTAAACAGGGCTAGCCCCAAGTGGTTCTGTGGATGCTCCCATAGAACAAGATTACAAGCCAGGCTTGTTGGTTGTGTCGGCAACCGTTAAAGGTTTTGAGAAACCATGGCCAATTCTAATTGACTCAGGGCTGTCGGGTAATTATGTTCGACGTCGTTTCCTTGAAGGGAGTCAGCTGTATGCTGAGGCGCTAGAAGCGCAAGAGGGTGACAGTATAACCGTGCGTCTCGCAAAAGGTGTACGTGTCACCGTTCCTAAAGCTCCGTTGAACTTAGGTGTGAAGTTCTTGGACTTCGATAGCGTTGAACGCTGTCTTGGTCTATATTTGGACTCGAGATATGATCTCATTCTCGGTATGGCCTGGCTGGAACGCCACGAGCCATGGATCGATTGGAGATCCAAAACCTTAGGCGCAACGCGCAATGTTCCTAGCGAAGCTTTGGCGAGTCATGAACCCACCTTCGCTAGGCAACAGAAGTGCTATTGGCGCGAGCCATTAACTGAGTTAGTTAGTGTGCTGGACATTGGAGTGTCTGAGTTGATAAACTCCATTGTCAGCAATAATAGTGTCGAGAAGAGCTCAGTGACACCTAGTGGGACGGCACGTACTCCGTTGAGTGATACTCATAATAATATTGAGACACTGGATGTCGGTAATGACATCGGCTCTCGTATAGAGCAAGTTAAGGTAAAAGACCTTATTAGTGGTGTCACCTGTAGTAGTAATTCTCTGGATGTCGTTAATGACATCGGCTCTCGTATAGAGCAAGTTAAGGTAAAAGACCTTGTTAGTGATATTGGCTGTAATAGCGATTCACTGAATTTTGGTAATGACATCGGCTTTCGTGCAGAGCAAGTGAAGGTACCGATGACCTTGTTAGTAATGTCACTGGTACTAGTGACCCACTGGATGTCAAGAATGACATCGGCTCTTTTATAGAGCAAGTGAAGATCGATGACCTTATTAGTGATGTAACTGGTAATAGCGACTCCCTGGATGTCGATAATGACATCGGCTCTCGTATAGAGCAGGTTAACGTCAAGGAATCTATTGACCTTGGGGATGATGATATTCCGAGTACTTTAAAGGTACGGTTCGTCAATGAGACGGCAGCATCGCCAGATGGCGGCTGCGAGACGCAAAGCGTCTGTTTTAACACGTAGTGATGTCAGTGACCAGTTGTATACCCTGGTCAACGGAGTGACAGGAGATGTAGATGGTGAGGTTGAACTTGAGGCCCTCCCATCATTAAATTCTCTCTTAGAGCTAGACGAAATGTCTGTGATGCATTTCATCTAGCCTTGAAGGCTGGTGCTCTATCCGATATGGTGGTCATTCGACCTAACCTCGAGTTGATCTCATCCTCGCTTGTCGATGAAGCAGTCCTTGAAGATACAAAGGCGGCACTAGGTGCACGTAGTGGAACATCTATTCTCAAGAACCCTCCCATATACTTACCATCCTTTAGTTAAGGAATGTCAGGACGTGGTGTGTCATGATCCACCGTCTGTTCTACCTCCTGATAGGGGTGTACGTCATGAAATTGACTTGGTTCCTGGCACCAAATACTGTGTAACACGGCAGTGGCCTTTACCCAAAGAACAGTGTGACGTCATTGACGAGTTCTTTCGTGCAAAGCACGCGGCGGGCATGGTGCGCGAGAGCAAATCTCCGCACTCGACACCCACTTTCTGTGTTAAGAAACCGAATGGTAAATGGCGTATCGTTCATGCTTATAATAAGCTCAATGCAGCCACTATACCTGCACAGACGCCAATACCTAGAAAGGATGTTCTTCAGAACAATATGGTAGGTTGTACCATGTACAGTGCGCTCGACTTAGTCAATGGTTATTACCAATTGCTTATGCAAGCTAGCGATATTCCGCTCGCTGCTGTTTGTACTCCGATTGGTATGCTCTAGGAGTGATTGGTGATGCCCCAGGGCTATCGAATGCTCCGCTACGGTTAACCGGTTGATGACACCATTGTTTCGGCCTCATCGAAGTTATGCACAGACGTACTTTGATGACATTTTTGTCCATAGTCGAGCTGAAAATGGGCGGTCAGATATTGAGAACCATATTGTTCATTTACGAGCTGTGCTCGAGTGCATGCGCACTAATAAGCTATATGCTAATGCATCTAAGTGCATCTTCGGGGCCGAAGAAACTTCCTTTCTAGGGTGCTTCATTGGAAAACGAGGCCTAAGAGCGGATCCCGCCAAGGTCAAAGCCATAGTCGATTGGCCTATTCCACAGTCTCAGAAGGACTTGCGTAAATGGCTTGGCCTTGCCAATTACTTACACAAGTACAGCGAGAATTACGCTGATATGGCTCGGCCATTATCCAATCTCCTTAAGAAA